GAAAAATCTATTTTTCCAAAACTTCCAAAACCCATTTCTAACAACAATTCAATACAATCATGAACACTTCAATTTTTGTTAAAATTCATCTAAAGCACTTTTCAATAATTAACAACATCAACTCTTTACAAAAGGTTCCTCACATATTTTCCTATTATGATCACCCATCTGGCCACATTAGCTGCACTTAATCAACTTTTTAAACTCAGCATGAAATGCAATTCTATTTGTCTTCGGCCTCCTAGTTAGCCTCTTACTCAAAAAAGGTAAAATGACAGCAACTTCTATTGAAAAGTTAGGTTTCCCAACTGTCGGTATTGGCGTAATAGATTTTGAGTAACATTTTCGATACAAATCAGCATAGAAAAACTGTTCAATAAACACATTCAAATCTTTCACACTTTTCTGAATTGTAGCTACCACATACTGACATGGAAAGCCCTTAATTTGCCAATTACAACAAGAACAATTACACAATCCAAGATCAATGGTTACAGATGGAAATGAGTACATTTCAAAAATGTTCTCAAAAAAACAACTAACAATCTATGTAACAATGCGAAAGTCTATAGTATATTTTGTTAAAAAATATACGATATATAGAAAATCAATGGTTAAGATTGAGCCACATCATTAAAAGTGACCTGTTAGCAGGTCACTTTTTATAGTTATAAGCCAAAATCATATTTCTTCATAACTATAATCAAATTGATCATAACTTAGTCATAACCATATCTCACAACCAACAATATTTTTTTCATAACTAATATCACATATTTCATAACCAACGCCATTTTGTTTATAACTAATATCACATATTTCATAACCATAATCACATATCTCATAATCACATTTTTTAACTAACACCTTTGAATCATAACCAACATCACATATCTCATAACTACTAGTCATATATCTCATAACCAACACTTTTTTTTCATAACCAACATCACATATATCATACCCACTATTCACATATCTCATAACTAACACCCTTGTGCTCATAACCACACCACTTTGATCATAACCAATATTCACATATCTCATAACCAAACACCCTTTGACTTATATCTATACCACTTTGCTCATAACCAAAATCACATATCTAATAATCACTAATCATATACCTTATAAGCTTTACTCACTTATGTCATAACCTCATCTCATAACCAACACCATTTGCCTCATAACCAACATCACATATATCATAATCATTAATCACATATCTCATAACCACTTCCCTACATATAGGAGTGTAAATTTGGCCCACGAGTTCACGGCACACCCCAAGTCCAATCGCGCCCTAAGTGGGCCCAACTAGGCCTGAGCCTAAGTCCAACCTAAGACCCTGGGTTATGTGTTCTAGAGCTTGGCCCGACTCTGGTGTGTTATGGAGTGTGCCCCATCTCGTGACCCGAAATTTTTTTCCCCATCTAGCCTGACCCAATCCCAATGGCTCTCTGCCCTCCTGTTAGTGCAACAGTCAAAAATTAAAAAAAAAAAAACTGAAACAGTCATATAACCGTTAATTCCACAAACAACAAATTTTATTTATTTTTTATTTTTATATATATAAATTAACCCCTCCCTCCCAAGTCCTATAAATACCACCCCTCCCTCATTTTATTTCTCACAAACAAATCTGTCTCTCAAACTCTCATTATCTTTGAACTCTCAACTCTCTCAATTAATTTTGAAGTGTCATCCCTAAGTGACAATTGCAATTGATCACCTATCTCTATTTTAAATTTATTTTTAGTCATAGTATCTTCATTAAATATAATAGAAATAGTAATATACAAACGATATACTTTTTAAAATATCTATATACACTTATAGACAAACACACACATATATATCTATATATATAATTTGACTAAATTTTAATAAAAAATATGTTGAAAAAAATTATCTATGACGTGATTTTATGTTGTTCTACTAAATAAATTTTCTCCTAAATTTTTTTCCCAACTTTTCTTCGTTTTTTTCTCTACTCTATTTTCTTTCCCTTAATTTGTCCTAGTTGTGCTTGAGCTCTCTCTATTTCTTATTCAAACTTCTCTATTTCGCCCAAATTATCGAACAACCATTGTTGATAGTTCTTCCTTACTGGATTCTTCCTCTCTCTACTCTTGTGTCTCTGCAATAAATCCTTAAACTCGTCACTACTCTCTTTGTTTATTTCTACACTATTCATTTTGGTGATATTTCTCTATCTAGTACATGCATCTATCTCGAAACTCTAGCTCTTTCACATTAATATGTCATACATACACAAA